ACTCATTTGTCACGCCGTAGACTATCAATTGGAAATATATAGAGTAAATCTCATAGATTACTTCCTATCAGCAGTTTGAGTAACTGAATGGAACTTATATAAAAGGCGTTTGCACTGTGACCTTCACTGTGCTTTCATAGTTTCGCCTATATTAACCTGAAAAGGCTGGAAATTGTTGCGCAAAAAATTAGTTGGGTCACTTTTCCCCCGCAAATAATTACCTAAAAGATCAGCGAGTAAATACTTGATAAGGAAATGAGCTAGCGCTTCTCTAGTGTCAATATAATCAAGATATTAAATGCACTACGCAACAGGAAAGTAAAAATTTAAAAATTTACAAGACTTAAAAAATGTTGCAATTTGTTTGTTTTATTTTCAATTATTAAATCATAAACAAAGGTTATCCAATAGGTTTTTAAGTATAAATTCCTATCTACTTTTTTCAGTCTGCTTTGATTGCAGCGGTTAAGTAACTCAAGAAGGTATTCAAGAGATGTATTACAGCACTGGTTAGTAATCTCATTAGTTACTTCATCGATTACTAGAACGTGTTATTGTAACATTGGGCAAAAATCAATACCAATATGTATTATAAATAGGGTATTCCTTAAGTTTTTTTAAAGGTTTTAACAAAAATATGTAATTTCTATAAAAGAAAAAGAGGAGATTGTAAAATAATCTTATAAAAATATAGCACCACAAGAAAGAGGCTCGATCGTTGCATTAATCTGTACTATATATATATATTTAAGAATATTTTAAGATTTTCCTCTTAGCGACAAGGGAAAAATCTTGACGAAATGAACAAAGAACTAGGAAGAGCAAGCAGTGCTCTGGCAAAGAAAGAAAAGCGAATAAAAATCTGATATAAAAGGCAAATATTATATATATTTCGAACAAAATCCCTCAGTATCAGAAACAAAGATGAATGCAACAAGGGAAATATTTGAAAACACCTTGGGATTTTCCGAAAGCAATGCGAATGGAAAAGTACAACTCCAAACAAATCTGATTCACTGATAAGAAGCTTACGAGGCCTGAATTTCACATGTTCAGTTTGAAATACGAATAACAATGCAACGTGATATCTGACAAAGGGAAACAACAACAAAAACCAGAACGAAACGCCAACGTAATTGAGACAAATTAATGTTATTAATCTCCGGTTGCAGCTGAATGCCTAAAAATAGAATGTTACATTGCGAAAGCTGTTTGTCTCTTGGATCAATAATAACTATGCAAATATCAGAGATCGTTGGGTTTTAATGGGGCTAAAATAATGACTGTTCAGAATAATGACACAAATTACGTTCAAATAAATAAATAGATTAATATTTATATTGAAACAAGTTTAGGTTGCAAGAATTTGTTTTGATTTTTTACTTTGATAAACCGTAAAAAAGGTATAAAAATAAAAAAAATAAAATATTTCAGTACTATTTAATTTTGCTATTTATAGCTCTTAATAATAATTTAATTTAATTAAATTTTGAAATATAAATTCAATACTATTTTCTTTAAATACATTTTCCTAACAGAAATAGAAACGACACACATTTGAGATCTCAATTGAAAATAGAGGTCTCTTCTTCTTCTAGGCACCCATAAACTTTAATTAAGTTGTTAAGATGATTGCATATTTACTTTCGTTTTCATGTTTGTTATTGTTTTGTTTTGCTGAATGAAGAGAGCGCCAAAAAGAGAGAGCTGTTTCTTATCACTCTCTTTGCAAATCAGCCTTACGCTACGTAAAGCAACGTAACGTGAGCAGGAGAGAGCGAGAGGGCCGCAGAGAGGGCGCTTTCCACTCGCGACGTTAGAATATCAACAAGTATATCAAGTTTTAACTTCCACGTCGGCGGCACACGCGATTTCCAGCCTTCCAGCTGTAGATGTGTATATTATTCAAATTTGGTTATTTATTCTTTTCCAACCGCCTCGCAACAGCACCGCACTGGAAATTTCACCACGTGGTGAGTTTGTTAACACGTGTCGTTCCAGCTGTTTACGTTTCGGCCTATGAATTTCTTACTTTCCGATCGCACTTCCTAATGAAAAACACTGAAAATTAGTGGGAGTGTGTGCTTTTTTTCCATCCGCGAACTCTTCCAGGGCACACGTCAACGGCAACTGGCAACGCGGAAAAATAAATGAGAAAAACAAATTTGAATTGCTGCCCTGCAACGATGCCGCTGCTCAGCTGCACCTCTGCCGTCGTTCACGTCGCTGTCAGCGCTATGGGCTAAAAAACAAGAATCGGAGCTAACCAATTTCACAAGCAACACTTTTTTAAACCTCTAATTAAGCTTGCAAGACATGTTTCTCAGGCTTCTTTCAAAAAGTTTAAAAGTTTATACGAAATTTCATATTTCATTTCAATTATTTGAGAAATTCCTTAAAATCTCTGGAAAGTTAAAAAATAATATGAAAACTACAAATTGTATTTTTTGTATCCCAAAAACTTTTAAATTTTGTTTTTAAGGTAGAGAATTGGTAAATTCTAAAAAATACCCTTTGCACCATTATCTAAAAAACCACCACATTGCATGATTAAAAATGAGGCATTTTAGTTTATGGGATTTACCTGTTATAAATTAAATTAGTTTAATTGTTTATTGTTATGTTCATCTGCATCTATTCAATTAAATTGCAATTATCCAACTAGAAAATGGATGTAAATAATTAAATCAACAATTTCACTTACTCTATCAAGTTGTCCTAACTAATCCATCACTTTGTTACTAGCTAAACCTTAGTTTTCACTCTTAATTAAGAGTACTGTGGTAATATCACAAATAAGATCCGAAAAATTAATTAAAGATTAATTAATTAAAAATTTATTTAGAAAAAGCTTGTTTTTACGAATTTTGATAATATTCAAATCTATTAAAACCACTCAAGTTCTTGAAAAGTAGAGTAGTATTATTTTTAACATTTTCTGAGACTATAGGCTAGTATTATTATTAATGGTCAGCAACTGACAGAATATCGTATTATACCCAAAATTGTAATATGTTTGCTCCCTAAGCTCACAGTTAATATTATTTTATGTTCCTAAAAGTCTTAAATTTCGCAGAAATATCAGGTATTAAGTTGCCAATTAGTTTAGTTTGGATTTGCATATGCAAAGAATGTCAAAAGTTATCGACGAGAGGTTTGCATATCCATTCAAAGTAGCACAAAACGCTTTCTAAAGCAAAGCGAATTTCGAACTCCGCTTGGCAACTAAATGAGTTTCTAAACGTGTAAACTTTTGGCTTTTAGCTTTTTCCACAGAAAGAAAATTAGCCACACCTTTTTGTAGTGTTTGTATGTCTTTCGTTCTTCTTGTTCCTCTTCTATCCCCGTTTGCTTTGGGTTCTCTGTTGATTTTGCTCTTCCTTTTGCTCACGCTTTCGTTTTGTTTGTGGGTGGCGGTGGGAGAAGGAGGAGCAAGAGGAGGGTCTTTGAATAGATAAACGACAAGCGGCTGACCTTGACATTTATTTTTAGTTGAGAAATATTTAACTTTTTCTCTCGTTCGTTGCGACACCCAAAACAGATGTGCCCATATAGATATAGAAACAATTATTGGAACATGCTTATGAATAAAACAAAAAGTAAAAACAAAAGAAAGATAGTATATATTAGATAGAGTTTGCGGTTTCATCATAGCAACAAACAAAAGTACATTACTAGGCTTGGAAAAATAACGAAAGAGAAGGAAAAAGTATGTTACAGTTTACACTGAATAACATGATCGAAATTATACAAAACCGTACTAAATTACTTCTGCCCTTATAATTAAATTAATAATTAAAGAACTATTGGTGTGTTCTTACTTAAATTTAGAAAATATTATTATTTCTTATTGTTTATGTACACAGTCTTCATCGTAACGACGACCTACTGTAATCAATTTTGTTGTTTTTAAGAAAGCGAACGAAAAAAAAATAACAAAAACACCGGCGGCAATTTTCGCTAGGATTGCGTAATAAAAAACAGCCAAGAATAAATAAAAATAAATGCAATTAAATGTTTGTTTCCCTCGATTCCCGTGTTTCGCTTTGTTTTGCTTTCGATGACAAACTGCTTGCCAGCAATTATGCAACCTGCAATTGTGTATCTATGAGATATCATTTTGTAATCGTAATCGCTTTTGTTGTTGTTTCTGTTGGTATTAGCATAACGTTGATAACGGGAGGAAAAACCACAACAAAGAGCAGAAAACGTGTTTCCAATGCGCCGCGTTGTTGTTGTTATTTCGTCTCGCCCTCTTGTTTATCAAGCGCCCCGCTTTGCCCTCTCACTTCGTCTCTGTCATTCTACGCACATTTGTTTACCAACAACCAAACACACACACTCACACACACGCACACCGAATTTAGTGGTCGTACATGTATGGACATGTTTTTCCATCATTTTTAAGACGCAATTTGGACAAATAACAAAATGAAGGGGGGAAAAAGAAATACGAGTAACAACAAAAACAAACACACAAAACGTGTACTACATTTGGGCAAACCCTAAAAACTAACTTATCGCTTTTTACAGTGGATATTCGCTAATTAGAAACTGCAGTTTTGCGTTAAATCAATATGAAGTCATTTACCATATCATATTTTATGATTTATTGGAAACCACGTCTCTACGCCTAATTTCTACTTCACAGAACCCATTAAAAGGTCTGAAACCTTTTCAGCCTTTTCTAATTTGCATTTCTAAATGTTTAGCATGGAGATACTTTTTTTGCAAATGCAAATACATATAACGGGTTTCGTTCTAATTTTCTATTTTAGCTCTTGTTTTTAGGCTGTAAGGCAAGCTACCAATCCTAGAATATTATATCATCCGAAAGATGAATACGATATATCCGAGGTATAATGATAATAATAATCAAAGATTCCATGTTTTACCTAAAAACTACAAGCCTAATCAATATTTCTGGCCAAAAAACTACCCCTTTCTAACTCCCATCAAAGATTTATGCAAAATAAATAGGTTATAATTTAATCACTCACCTTCCAGGCGTTAACCTTGGGCGGTGGTGCGGCAATGAATCGCTTGGGTGGCGGAGCTGCTCCGGCTGCACCCTTCTCTCCTGCTTGCTGATCTCCGTCGCCGGACTTGGCCTCATTGCCGCTGCTTCCGCCTCCCTCGATGCTGGCACTCGGCGAGGTGTCCTTGCGATCCTTGTGTACTTTTGGACCGCCAGGAGCAGCTGTAGAAGCTGCAGCTGCTCCTCCTGCAGCTCCGGGTGCAGCTTTGCGGGGACTACCACCGCGAGGAGCTCGACTCCTCACCGACTGTTTGCGATCGGAATCAGAGGATCCGGGGACACGTCTGCCACCAGCCTGCTGGGATTTCTGACCATCGCCACGTCCTCCGGTTGGCTGTTGATCGCGCGGCTTCTCCTTGCGCGCCTTTTTGCGATCGCGTCGATGGTGCGATAGCACCGGCACAAAGTCATTGTTATCGTCCAATTCCGATGAGTTCTCGGCAGTATTATCTCCTCCAGAGGCCGCAGCACGTTTCTCGCCCGTTTGGGCTAGGCCAACACTGCTGGTGAGTTGGGTTTCACCGGCGGCTGCCTCAGCGGCGGCGGTTTCCTCGCTCCACGACTTGAAGCTTTTCAGATTGGGCTGGTTCTCTTTATTGTCCACGGTGGTGGTAGTGCTGCTGCTGGAGCTAGTGTTTCCACCCTTTTTAGTTTCCAGGTTCTGGACTACATTGGCATACGAAGTGGTGGTGCTGCCTTCAGCGGCAACAGTGGCCACAGGAGCGGCTCCTCCCGTGGTTGGCGTTTCCTCCTTGCTGGACATGCTCGTCACTTGTGGCTGCTACTCCTGCGGTTTCTTCGACTCCGGTTTCCTCTCCAGAGTGGGCAGCAAATCCGCTGCTCCGGCTCCGGCTTCGTCAGCGGCTGATCCTCGTTGTCGGGTCGGAGGAAACTCTTGGCTGCTTCCTTGCCTGGTCAACGAGATGCGGTTGCTCGAAAGATCGGCTTCCAAACTGAAAAGGTTTGTAAGAGATACATTTGGTTGTTATTATGTCACAGTTAAGCTTTAGTCAGTTATTTTATTAAAATTGTATTTTTCGGTCGAAATCTAAAACTGTGTTAGTGGCTTATCAGTATTACGTAGAAAGTTTACTATTTTACACTAATTATTGAGATCTATAGTTCAAAACCTATTAAATTTTATGATTTCTGTATTCATAAACATTTTTGCTGAAGAAAGTAGAGATTTTTAGTTCAAAATGTACCTTATTAATTTTTAAATATATCATTATTAAAAAGAGAAATCTTTAATCAATTATATCGTTTTTATCTCTTCTAAATCACAAATATAGTACTGACTGTATTGATATATAAAACTTCAGCAAAGCTTAAAGCGCAATTTAAATAAAAATCCATAGGTAGAGTTCCTATGTATGTGTAAGTTATGAAATAAATATGTATTTATAAACTTGTAGCAACCAAAACCTAATATCAATGAACAATAAACATTCGCATTTCGCCTAGCTCTACTGTATTTATTGGGATTTTTCAATAAGATTGCGAGTTTAGCGAACTCGTGGTGTTTGTTGCTCAATTGATGGCGATTAATCTCAAGTTCGCCCATCCCACTATATTATTTATTAACTTATAGAAACTATTACAACACACACAGATACGCACACATGCACCTACACTGCACTTTGAACTTGTGATATTCTTCTTTTCGAATAGGGGGATTATTTTTGTGGGACTGCAGAAAAGCCTCCCGAGGAGTGCGGTGATTTTTTAAGAACTGGCCATCGGAAAAGCCTCTCCCCAGCGGCCTTTTTCTCAATTTTTTCAAACTGTCACGCTGCTCGGCGAATTGGATTTACTGCCACGGATTTTGCACGATTATAGACTCTATATAGGAGCGGAGAAAATTCGTAGCGAGGCACGACCAATCGTGAATCGAGAGGTATTATATTATTATGCAGCAGCCACACAGAAGAGTATTCGAGCGAAGAAGAAGAAGAAGTGAGGTTAGATTTCTGCCCCACACAAGAGGAAGAGGAAGAACGTAGGAGCGGACAGGAAGAAGAAGCAGCAGCAACACAACGCTAAACGACCAGGGTTGCAAGAATAGTGCTGTCCACTTGCCAACAAAAATCTTACGTTATGCCCTTACGTTTAACGTTAAGGGTTTAAGACAGGAAATTAAAGAGAGTAGGAGGGTATACATAACAAACAATATTTTGAAGAAAAACTGTTGTTGTTTTTCTGCAAGCTAGTAAACAAGAAACAGTATGTTTTAATTAAGCCAAAGATTATGCAATAACAAATGCACTCGTCTAACGGCCTGCATTGTTGTTAGTGCCGCCCTGGTTTGGGGTTTAAGAACAGCTGATTTTGACTGCAACTCGCCTCGAATTTCAAAAAGATGCACGCGGTCACACACACTAGCAAAGATTTTAATTTAAATACGCACCAGAAAATGAAATGAAAACCAGAATTTGAATTTTATTCCGCTATCTTTCTCACTTTTTTCTCTTCGTGTGTTCACTACGCACTTTCCGCGTGTGAATAAGAATGTGTGTGTGTGCGTGCGTGTGTTGTTATTGTTGCTTTGCTTTTGCTTTTGCGGGTTTCCTTACACACACACTCTTTCGCACTATACTCGAATCGTTGCCTCTCGCTCGCACTCACTCACGCGCTGGTAGGCAGAACGTTACGAATATTATTTATCACGTTTTCCGGCAATTGCACTCACACTCGATTCGTTTTTGGTCGCACTAATCTTTCGCCGTTCACTGGAGTTGTCAAATAACCGCAATTAATCAATTAACTGGTGCATTATACCGCCGAAAGGAAAATCAAAATCGGTTACCAGACATGTGGTTCTACGGGTCCAAAAGAAAAAGAGCAGGGTTGTTGTTCAATTCATTCGCGTTGCGTTGCGATGTATATCGTGAATGACGATAGCCGCAAATCTTAGAGATGGCTAAATTGTATCTGTAACGTTTTTTTTTTTTTTGTATTTCCAATCCTATATTTTAAACTTATTTAAAGGCAAATGAATTTTCGAACAAAAATTTATTTTGTTTCATTTATCCATGCTAATTTATTATAGCATATGAAAATTTGAGTTTAAGCGATATATCGATATCATAAATCTTACCACGAAGCCATTTAGTTCTTTTTATAATTAAAGTAAGTTATTTCATAAGTAATCAAAATTTAAAACTTGTTTATAATCATACTTAATGATGAAAACATTTGTTTAACTTTTGTTATTTTTAATTGTTGTATTTACTAGAGATATTACAACATGCCAAACGTAACGTAGTCGCTATTAGTTACGTATTACAGCATTAACGTGACGTGGCCTTCAACTTTTAAATTAAATTTAAAATTATCATTTATACATGTACATATCTTAAAGAAAATGAAATTACCTAATTTATGTAATGTTAATGTTTACTTAAAATAAAAGAAAATTAGTAGTTTAATTATTCAAATTTTTGTAATAGGTACATTTTACAAAATTTTTCGTAAAATTTTAAATTGCAAAATGATGAAATGATGAATTTAATAGAAAAAGTTTCAAAATCCGCTCCTCATTTACAGTGGCTCCAAGCTTATTTCGTGCAAGAAAAAATCGAATTTTTAATTTGATACTGCTACTAAACCAGCAGAGGTATCAAAAAAATTTAAACGCAGTAATGTTAAGAATGTCGCATATTATTAAAATAATAACAAAAGTTTTTACTAATTTAAAAAAACAAAAGAATTTTTCATACAAAAACTAAAAAATAGGGCAGCTCCGACGCACAAGCTTATTTCGTGCAAGCACTTTAAGGGTTAATAACTCTAAACTAGGACTTTTAAATCCATTTTTTCTTAATACTAGTAAAAATATATTAACAAAAGCATATTTATAAGTTTTCGAGGCTGGGGGCACCCAAAAATTACGGATTAACGAGGATTTTCAAACTATGGCGCCACGAATAATAGTCAATAGTTTGTTGAGCAAAGCGAATTAGTCCTTAAACATTTTAAGGATGGGAAAACCCAGGAAATGGTTGCCTCAAGCCCTAGTACAAACCCATACATAACCCAAACGCTTTTTTACGAAAATCGGGTGGCAGAAAGGGGCGGTAATGCACCGAACAAAATTTTTAATGACCAGGAGGAGAGACGTATTGTCCCAAAAGTGAAGGAAAACCCCAAGCTTTGAACCAAATTTTCTTTCAAAATAGTTGAATATTTATTGGCATCCATGATTCCGTCAATAAAAACCAAATTTCCGGCGCCGGACACAGTAATACATGCCCAAACTATAGCATGACCACCGCCGTGCTTAGCCGCTGATTTTTTGTTTTTTGAATGTAGCTCTGTATTGGGACGCCGCCAAACATATTTCCTCCTCTGGGACCCAAATATATTACATTAGGACATTCGTCCACAAACATAACGTCGTTCCAGACCAAAATCGGACTAGTTTCAAGTTCCCTGGCGAATTTGACGCGCGCCAACTTATTTTTAGCACTTATAAAGGGCTTTTTTCTAGGAACTCGACCATTAAAGTTATGGTTCTGTAAAATGTTCCGAACTGTACCTGGGCAACATTTTTTGCCCATTTCGTTCTCGATCTCCTCAACTATTTTTGGAGCCGATAGCTTGGGGTTTTCCTTCACTTTTGGGACAATACGTCTCTCCTCCTGGTCATTAAAAATTTTGTTCGGTGCATTACCGCCCCTTTCTGCCACCCGATTTTCGTAAAAAGCGTTTGGGTTATGTATGGGTTTGTACTAGGGCTTGAGGCAACCATTTCCTGGGTTTTCCCATCCTTAAAATGTTTAAGGACTAATTCGCTTTGCTCAACAAACTATTGACTATTATTCGTGGCGCCATAGTTTGAAAATCCTCGTTAATCCGTAATTTTTTGGGTGCCCCCAGCCTCGAAAACTTATAAATATGCTTTTGTTAATATATTTTTTACTAGTATTAAGAAAAAAAATGGATTTAAAAGTCCTAGTTTAGAGTTATTAACCCTTAAAGTGCTTGCACGAAATAAGCTTGTGCGTCGGAGCGGCCTTATTTTTTAGTTTTTGTATGAAAAATTCTTTTGTTTTTTAAATTAGTAAAAACTTTTGTTATTATTTTAATAATATGCGACATTCTTAACATTACTGCGTTTAAATTTTTTTGATACCTCTGCTGGTTTAGTAGCAGTATCAAATTAAAAATTCGATTTTTTCTTGCACGAAATAAGCTTGGAGCCACTGTAAATTTGATATTTTTTTTAAAATTAAACATGAAAATCAATAAAAACATTTTTATAGGTAAAAATGCAATTCAAAATTACAAAAGCCATATTTTTAAAGGAAATCTGGAAATATTTATATTTCAATTGCACATTCACAAAAAGTAATGAGTTCACAACACAAGGGTCAGTGTACGGGCTACAAAATGCAGGGGCTAACAGATTCGGCTCCAGCCGGAAGGGGCACAGCGGGTTAATTGGAGTAATATCGGTTTTCAATCCGGAAATACCAAACAATTTCAACTTAAGTCCTAGGGTTTTGTTTTTTCTCAGGCAGATACTAAAATGGAATTGTTGTTGCGGCCAGTGCCAGGTAGTTGTGGTGCCTACTCCACGGTCACCGACTTGGCCAGATTCCTGGGGCAGTCCACGTCGCACCCGCGAAGCACGGCTATGTGATAGGAAAGGAGCTGCAGTGGAATCACCGTGAGAACTCCTTGAAGGCAGTCCACGGTCCTCGGAATCTGCAGCGACCGTGTGGAGAAGGACATCGTCTCGTTGTCGCCTTCCTGGCAAATCAGGATCGGCCTGCCCTTGCGAGATGTAACCTGTTGCAGGGCATTCATGCACTTGGTGTACACCGGATCTCGCAGAACGATCATCAGCACGGGCATCTCGTCGTCCACGAGTGCCAATGGTCCGTGTTTCAGTTCTCCAGCCAGGATTCCCTCGCTGTGCATGTACGTCAGCTCCTTGACTTTCTGTAATCCACAATTGGTATGATTAGAATGAATAATGCAGGGTAATAAAAAGCTATTAAGCCGACCAAACTTTTTAAGTCAACACATAAATTAGCTAAATTGGCGTCTACCAATACAATCTAATCATTACATTAGCTTTAGCTTATAAATTGAAGTGCACGGAGGAAATGAAATGATAACAAGTCAATTGAATTGTTGACTCAGTCATTTTCCGGCTAATTCTATCACGAAGATCTTATAAAATTGTAAATGATAAACTATAAATAAATCAGAGTTGATTTTATGACATCTATATATGCTATTCCTTACCAATGCTCCCTCCAAGCAGGTGGCGAAATTGAAGCCCCTGCCCATGATCAGGAGAGACTTGTGCTGGTATAGCTCCTTGGCCAACTCCTGCACCTGCGAGTTCAACTTCAAGACGGTCCTTATGTGCTCGTCCAGCTGGGACAATCCATCGATGATCTCCAGCCGCCGCTGCTGCAGGGACAAACGATCCTCCGACATGACCAAAGCAAACATAACCAACGAAATGAACTGAGAAGTGTAGGCCTTGGTAGAGGCTACTCCAATTTCGGGTCCAGCATTAATGTGGACACCACAGTGCGATTCCCGGCAGATGCTACTGCCCACAGTGTTGGTTACGCCCACTATGAGAGCACCTCTCTGCTTGCAATACCTTAGGGCCATTAGGGTATCGGCTGTCTCGCCAGATTGGGATATAAAGAAGCACACATCGTCTCTAAAAATCGGAGTATTCCTGTCCAGAAAATCAGAGGCTAATTCTACCATTACAGGTAATTCGGTGAGTTCCTCCAGCAGCTGCCTGGTGGCCACTGCACTGTGATAGGATGTGCCACAGGCTATGAGCATCAAGCGGCGACAACGCTTGATCTCCGGGATGTACTCCTTGATGCCACCCAGAACCACGCTCTGAGTATCGAACCTCATTCTTCCTCGCATAGTATTGACGACAGATTCCGGTTGCTCGAAGATCTCCTTCAGCATGAAGTAGTCGTAGTTGCCCTTCATGATCTGCTGGATCTCCATCTTGAGGGTGATGATCTCCCTGGCATGCGGATCATCGGAGGATTTATTTAGACGATGAATGCTGAGGGTGCCATCGTTCTTCACGGCAGCCACATCATCATCCTCCAGGTAAATTACCCTGTTAGTGTGCTCAATAACGGCTGAGGCATCAGAGGCGAAGAAGTACTCGACTTCCTTGCGTTCAAGAGGTAGAAACTCGGCACTAACATCGCCGGGAGGTAATACTTGAAAAGACTGCTGTTGTGGCTGTCCATGTGGTCGATGGGCTTTGGCATACAGGATAGGTATATGATCCGTGGCCAACTTGGTTTTGGCCTTGATGCCCACAAGCAGTGGGGATCCCCTCCTGGAAGCCACACATTCTCCTGGGAAATGCTTGGACTTAAAGGCAATGGCAAAGGCACCCTCCAGTTGTTGGATGGCTTGCTCCACGAGCTCTCCGAAAGTATAGCCAGGATGTTGTTGCCACAGGTGATGAACAAGTTTGGCAATCACCTCCGTATCCGTATCGGATTCAAAGACATATCCCCTCTTCTGCAGCAGGGTCTTGACATCCTTGTAGTTGGTGATGATGCCATTGTGGACCACCACGAAACTGTTATCCTCGTCGGATCTCTGGGGATGTGAGTTGACCTCGGAGGGCACACCATGGGTGGCCCAACGTGTGTGCGCAATACCTATGTGGGTGTCTATGGGCAGGGAGTAGTCTTGACCCAGACAAACCTCCGCCACCGCATCCTCCAGGACCTTGACCTTCCCGGTTCTTTTTACCAGGAGTATGGACTGTGCATCCCCGGAATTCAGGGCATCAATGGCAATGCCTGTGGAGTCGTATCCTCGGTATTCCAATCTCTTCAATCCTTGTAGCAGAAGATCCAAGACTTCTTGACGCGATTTAGGCGTCAAGTAATTTAAGTAAGCGAATATGCCACACATTCTGAAATTCTGTTGCTTTCCTCGGGTGATTCGTGAATTTCCACGTCGCAATGTTAACTTTTCGGTCAGCTGAGGCTGATATTTTGCTTCTGAGGCCGCTGCAATGCGTTTGTCGTGTTTTTATCGCGACACTGGCTGGAATTTTTTTGTTTTTCTCTGATAAAACAAATTATTTGCTTTTGCCCAAAAGAACACGTCTTCGCCTCGCTCTCCCGCTCGCACTCACACTTGAACCTCTTGCGCGCTCATTCACACCCACACATTTGCACATCCGCGAGTCACCATGTAAACATTGGCTTTTATGTGACCGTATCCGAGCGAGGGATGGAAAACGTTAGTGTCTGTGAAAGTTTATTTGTTTATTCACGTGACTAAGTGTGAGGTTTTTATGTGTGTTTACATCAAATATTATGAACTTCAAATATAGATAGGCTTTTATTGGGCCACATCTATAAATCACACATTATATTTAGACAATCCAATAAATTAAGATAGTACTCAAAGATTCTATTTTACAATTAACAGTTTTGTTTATTTATTATTTTTATGTTATGTTTTACATTTTTGGTGAACAATAAGTTCTTTCAATAGTCCTAGTGAACATTTTTTTTAGCCACATTAGTTGCATAGTACGTATATATGTAATACATACATTAAAAACCCAAAGAAAACTTACAAATATGTATAAATTATTAGGTTAATACTTTGAACTAAACATAGTATTTTTATATGACTTGCATTAATTGCCTATAAGCTTTTCATATAACTAACAATAATTAAAACTCACTTATCTTTTTTCCACTTTTTTATTAAAAGACGTTTGAAGTGTACTATAATCCTATATAAAATCAGGTAGTAATGAAGTCGTTATAAATCAATCGATTTCCAAACTAAAAACAACAAATGAAAGCAAAAACTCAAAAACAATATTTTAAAATGTACTAATTCTAACGTATGCATTGTATTAGATTTATAATAATTTTATAATATATAAAAAAAATTCTGTTACAGGAACTAAAATAGTATATTTTTTTAAGTTTGATATTTTTCATTGCCACTCGTACGGTCTCACTTCACAATTTGCATTTCGAGACGATCTGGCAACGTCAACATTGTGCAACGCGAAAACGGGAAGAAAGTACGTATTGAAATTGCATTTAGTGATAAAAACCGCCGAAAATTATGACGGTAAACAAGCGCGACGCGAATGCAACGCGGTCGCGATGCTTTTTTGACATTTCACTGGGCGGTTTGGGAGTGGGCCGCATTGTTTTCGAGCTTTATAGCGATGTGGCGCCGAAGACGGCGGAAAATTTCCGGGCCCTGTGCACGGGTGAAAAGGGAATAGGAATGGTCACCGGCAAGAAGCTCCACTACAAGGGGGTGATATTCCATCGCGTAGTCAAAGATTTCATGGTCCAGGCAGGCGACTTCTCCGCAGGAAATGGCACCGGCGGAGAGTCCATCTACGGCGGAACATTCGAGGGTGAGTTCCATGTCCCGACGCAATACATACATATTTTCAATGACATACATAAAAACATGTACCGTTTGTTTGTGGTGGAAAAAAATCAATACAGTGGTTATCTGATAAGAAGAACTCTAAACAAAACAAAATACACAGTCAGAATGGGAAGAGGTTTTTAAGTGGGTCTAGATAATGTTTATTGTACAGATGTTTATTTATTTTTATAGCTTTTTTATATTAAAAGAAACTGCATACACACATATAATTCAGATTTACAGTAAATCAGATTATAATAATGGACATTTAACTCTACTTTAACACTTACAGCTATAAGCTCACTGATAATTTTCAAATATGGTTTTCCCTAAAATCATATGATAAAGTTAACCGCAAAATATAAACTAAATATAGTATAAAACCTTTTAAAAGTGGTTTCTAGTGTTTAATAAGCCACTTTTGTTGTGTCTATAAAGGTCATACCCCTTTTGAAGTATTCTAAAATTGTCAGCCAATTAAACTAATTAAATCTAAAACTACCTAACAATCATCCACTTTAAACGAGAGATTTGAAATGTATAATTTGTGGACAAACCTTTGAACAACTCTTTACTGTTATTTATTTGCATGCGCAAAAAAAAACTAAAACTGCACCCAGAGAAAATTCAAAAATAAATTCTCATTTCCTGAAGTCACTTAATTTACGTTTTGGCATATATTTCCATTAAAAAGAAGTCAGAAAGGTGGATATTCATGAGAATACAGCTAAAAATACTTCTATAAAGGCAATAAAATGGGTCAAATGTGCAAATAGAAACAGCTATTAAAATTCAAATTGTCGTGCACATAAAAAATGTCACAAGCATGTCATAAATGTTATATTTTCCAGGTGTTAACTAAAATACGATAAGATTTTAAAGGTTCTTAAAAGTTTAAGACCTTCAACTACTACTTTAGGCTGAAAAATTAAACCCTATGGACGTAAACTTAATAATAATAATCATTCTTCTTATTTTAGATGAATGCTTTGATAAGAAGCACGATCGCCCTTTCCTTCTGTCGATGGCCAACCGCGGCAAGAACACCAATGGCTCCCAGTTCTTTATGTAAGTGCTCTCAACCGAGAGCCGTAACCGGCAGAGTCCGTGCTGACCCCGCCGTAAATGTAGTTTCCATTCTATTCCAGGCATTCAGCTTAAACTCTCCTTATTTTGTATCTATATTTAAACGTCTGTTGTTGTTCATTAATCTATTGCCATTTAGCCTAAGCTCGTGGGCAGTAGAATGTACTAGCGCTCCACTGACCAGCGGACAGATGCATCTGCCTTCAGCCGGCTGATGCACCACTGCCATACACCAACCCATGTGCATTTGGTCTGTGGATCCACAAGCCAAGTGAAAGACGGCGCTAGTCTTTCTGCCCCCTGGTCTTTTGGTCTTCGGTCTCTGTGTCTCTCCTTATCTCGGCTCTCAAACGACCTGGATCTTTACCGATACCTTGATTTGGATCTGGATCTCTAGGCTGGATCTGCCAGATGACGTTGATCTAGTGAGATTCATTCAACCACGTTGGTCGTGGCCAACTGCAGCAGCGCTTGTGGTTGGTGGCTGGCCAATATCCTTTGTGCCACCTCTGCTACACCTTGTAATCCTTTTAACTTTGTTGCACATGACATTGTATCCACCAACCACCTCCACAACAACAGCAACAACCACAGCTGAACCAACAACATCGATTTCAACTACAACTGCCTACTGCAGCCCAACAACCAGTTAGCCAAAGTGTAAAGAATATTTTTCTCTTCTTCTGTTTCTCATTGTAGTACAACACAGCCTGCGCCACATTTGGACAAGTATGTATTCACCTAAACTGCTAAACAGATCGCAAAGTAAACTTTATTTTCCTTGCAGTATCCATGTTGTATTCGGTCAAGTTATATCCGGTCAGGAGTTGGTGCGACAATTGGAGGATCTACCCATCGATCGGAACTCGCGGCCTTTGCAGGATGCAGCCATAGCCAACTGCGGCGAACTAGTTAGACAGACAAAGGGTACGATTAGACTGTATTCCGTTGATCACTTTTGTAATACTATCTTTTTTGTTACTTAGCCAAAAAGGAAAAGAAGCGTAAGAGGCGGTCCACGGCCACAGATGAATCAAACAGCGATGAAAGTGAAGCGGAGGTTAAGGCCGAGCGAAAAGACAAAAAGAAGAAAAGGAGCCGCAAGGAGACAAAGTCCAGCGATAGTGAAGAGTACGTGTTTAATGAAGGATTTGATGTGTATTTAATATTTGTCATATCATTTGATTGGCTTGTACAGCAATGATACCAGACGTGGAAATGGAAAGCATGATCAGAATCCACCAGATGGTCACGCGGACCACGAGGAGGGCGAGATTCATCCACTGGCAACAATTACCAAAATAGATCCTAACGAGATACCAGAGGTAAACCAATTTATAATTCATTTTCATTTTCCAACATAATCATAATATTTGTATTTTACTTTAGGTGTCAAATAAATTTTTAATGCGTTCAGAGAGATCAAGGTCTCGCGGCCGCGACGATCGTGGTGATCGAGCACAAGATCGCGATCGAGGCAGAGATCAGGACAGAGACCGAAACCGAAATAACTTTGGATGGTCAAAGAAACAGGCACAACCCACATCACGCAGTGGACGCATTGTAAAAGGTCGCGGTGTGTTTGTAAGTTTATAAACTCCAATACTACATCATATCATTTATAAAACTAAACACTTTTTTCAGCGTTTTCGAACGCCTTCACGCAGTCGATCGCGGAGCACTACGCCACCCCACTGGAAACATGCCCAAAAGCGCACTATTAAGCTTTCCGATTTGGAGCGCATTGAGGAGGAGACCAAGATGCGCGAGGAGGAAGTGAAGCGGCGGGAAAATGAGCGAAAGCGTCGCCACGAGGAGGCCTCCAAAAATCCGAAACAGTCGTTCTTCGAGCTATCCCATGCCAGCACTTACGGTGGCAAAGTGACGCCCGATAAATTATCTCCGGTTCATAGAAACAAGTCCAAAGAGATAACAGAGCGCGGCAAGCCTAAGAATAAGGAGAAGGAGAAAGCCATCGAGAAAGATATTCCGAAGGATGTGTCTCCTGTTAAGCGTCGCAAATCAATGGACATGAATGCGTTAGACTACGAACAGCAGACTGAATCGGAAGCTGAGTCCGAGGACGAGGAACGGGAGCAGCCTAAGGTGAAACCAACCAGCAAGCTGGATATCAAAGTGGTGTCCTCCACCAGCAAAGATCGTAATTTAAAACGCGATGATCGTAGGCCCGATGAGACAGCCAAATCAAAGCGAAGTCTGTCTCGGAGCCCTCGTCGGAATTCGCCTCCTCGTCGCCAGCAACGTTCACCCGCCAGGCGTCCTGGACAAAATTTTAACCAGAACCAGAATCAAAATCAGTTTAATCGTGGTAACCGTCGCAATCCTTTTGCGGATAGGGACAGGGACCGTCGACGCCGTTCGCGTTCGGGTGAATACCGTAATCGTTTTCCTCTGTCACCAGTCAGAGGAAGGGGCTCTCCTAGTGGAGAACGCCGTCGTCAGCAGCGTTCCCGAAGCCAAGGACGTAGGCAGGATTCACCGAATAACAAACGCCAACTGTCGCCAGGAAGGAATCGTTTGGAGTCACAGAGTAGGAAGCGTCACGTTTCACCGGAGAAAAAACACGAGGAGTCGTCAGTTCGAAAACGGTGGGATTCGCCGGAAATCAAGCGAGAGAATTCAAACGACAGAAAGCAAGAGGCTCCTTCAAACAAGAAGCGTGAGGATTCATCTGAAAGGAAGCGCAAAGACTCTTCCAATACAAAGAGAGGAGAATCTTCCGACAAAAAGCGAGAGGATTCTCCGGTTAAAAAGCAAGCAGAGAGTCGGAGCAGAAAGCGCTGGGATTGTGAAACAAAGCAACCGGGCTCTCCTGTAAAAAGACAGGATTCGGCAGGCAAAAAGGACTCAGAAGACAAAAAGCGTGAAGATTCCCCTGTCAAGAAGCAGGATCGCCAAGAATCGCCTGGCAAGAAGCGTGGTGATTCCGCCGACAGAAAGCAACAGGATTCCCTTGCCAAAAGACAAGATTCACCTAGTAGAAGGCGTAGGGATTCACCGGAAAGAAAGCGTAAGGATTCACCTGACAAAAGGCGCAATGATTCGCCTGCCAAAAGACGTCAGGACTCATCCGGTAGAAGGCGACAAGATTCGGATGGTAGAAGACGCCGTGAATCATCCGGAAACAGACGAAGTCGGAGCCGCGGACGTCGGCATAGCTCTTCGCGCAGTCGCAGTCCTTCGAACAGTCGCTCCCGTCGACGCCGCTCGCGAAGTCCGCTGCCTAAGCTGACCTCTGCCCTGCCCATGGCCGATGTTCGCGAAAAGGCGGCTCGCGAAAAGATGCAAAAGCGTGCGGAGGCAGCGATGCTGATGAAGGAGCATATGCGCAATGAGATCGCCAAGGAGGAGGAACGGCGATTGGAGAAGCAGCGCCACGATGACATGGAAAAGGAACGCACTACCCGCGAGCTCAACGAACTGGAGCGCCTGAAAGCAGAGACCCTAAAGAAACTGCAGGACGAGGATCGTGTGGAATCTGTTGGATCAGGAAACGATGCACCTGCGGGAAGCGAGTTCAAAACCGATGCCAATCCCACCAGGAGCAAGCGCGAATCCAGTCCAGAGGATCGGCATCGTGACAAAAAGCGCAAGCATAAAAAATCCAAGAAATCCTCTGCGCGCTCCGATTCCGATTAAAGAACGAATCCTAGACAGTAGCTGAAAATCCCAGACAGCGGCAAACCGAGTTTTGTTCCACCAATTTCAAACCTCTCCACGAAATTGCGAATGTAAAAATCTCGACACTGAAATTTTGTAACTGAGTCCGTTTAATAAAGGTAAACGTCACTGTAGTTTCCAAATAATTGTTGATTTTTGAAAAGATTTTTCAGCTCTCTCAGTATATGCTTTATATATAAAATATTCATTTTATGAATTTGTTTCTTTTTTACTATAACTACAATAAATGAAAGTCCATATTTCATTTGAATAGTTGTTCACGATCCTGAAAGTGTTATTCCTGAAACAAATTAATTTCAACATATTTTTAATTACCGAGAGGATTTGTCAGAATAGCAATTTTCCTCGTTGTTTGAACTCTCTAATTGCCAAGGGAACTTACATGCAGACACCCTCTGACCAAATTGCCCTGTGTTTGCCTAATATTCTTATATTTTATATGCATTTCCTTAAGGCCGAAAGCGACCCTTTGGTTTCGAGAGGCAAACAATGGCTAAGGAAGAAAAATAATAAAACTGCAAGTGCAACTTTTAGGTTGTTTAGGCTGTCGTTGTAGGTTGTAGGTACAAAAATATGCACTGAAAAAATGGTTTTCGCTAATGAAATATAACTATTTATTACAAATACATGTTTCAGAATTATAATTTAATAATAATAATAATAGTTAATTAAAATCATTCTACATTAGTAGAAAAGATTTTTAACAGTTAAAAGTAGTAAGAAAAACTCTAAAACAGTCAAATTTACTACATTTTCCTCAATATATAACAGCATATACAAAATGCTGTTTTTCTCCTTTTGTAGGTTGCAGGTTGCAAGTTACTGGTGTTGTTCTTGGTGTTGCGTTTAGCTAGTTGTTGTTCTTGCTGCCTAGTTGCTGGTTGCAAGTGCCACTGACAAACACAGCTGTCGAGTGCGGCGCTTAAATGGCAAGTAAACTGCAGCCGAGCGTTTGCTTTGCTAATTTTCCAGGCTTTCCGCCTTTGGAGCCTCTCCTCCTTTAGTGCCACACCTTCTCTATGCCCGCCTTAGCCGCCTCTACACTCGACAATTGTGTGGGCGTGGCTGTGCACTTGCTGCTTATTATTTGCACTCGGCAAGGCCAACAGCATAATAAATTGGGCGACAGGAGGAGGTGACGGTTGGTTTTGGTGCCGGGGTGAATCGGAAAATCTTTTATTCATGAATGCCGCCTCCTGCCACCCACTGCGTCCATAAAAATTGCACAATTTGAAGCGCTTTTCCCACTCCCATCCCCACATTCCCCACGAGCCGCTTAGTCTGAGACGTATGTCCAAAAAAATAAAAAAAAAATATATAAAAAAGAAAAGAAAACGAGGCGAGCAAGAAAAGAATTTACGCGCCTCGAGCGGCTCTCTCAAGGATTTCGGCAATGGCTCTCCTGGAGTCCTGCCCCACCCACAATTTGGCTGCAGGCGATAGTTGCATAAATCATAAAAGCCGCACTTGTTGTTGTCCTTGCACCCACACTCCCTCTGCCCTCCTCGGCTCAACCTCTTCCCTTTGAATCCTTGGCAGGACTTTACGACACTTAAGCAACGCAAGTGGGCGGTGAGAGAGTCTCCAAATGTCTGAATTTGATTGCACGGCCACAACAGCGACTTGAGAAGTGCCACTCCCCATCTCCATCTCGTTCTCTTTCGAACCATGTAAAGGATTCAACTCCTCACGAAAAACTTGGCGCATTTATTTATGAAGGTCTAAAGGTCCCCCGAAATCCTTCTCCGCCCACCGATTTCAGTCCTCAAATTCAGTTAGTGGAATATTTTGGTGGAAAGAGCAGCGATAAAGATGGCAAAAAACAGCAACAGGTTTTTATAGCTAAACAAAAACAGTGTTTATTTTCTTATCATATAGTTTATTGTTGAATAAATCTCGTCATTCATTAAATTGATTATAAATAAATAAATGAACCGCAACTAAATCATAACAATGACAGGTGGAAAAACTATTTATAATCTAGAAAAGTAGCAAAAAAATATAAACAAAAGAGCTAAAAACAAATCAACGTTCTGTTGTTATTTATTAGTTTTCAATTTATTTGATTTTTTATTAAATTAATAATATATAATTTTAAATATGTCATCTTTCTACATTAACCCTCTGAGCTGGTTGTGGTCGAATAATTTTAGGCCCTTAGGAAACTGAAATAAAGAAATGATAGCAGAGATTAGAGCGATCTAAAATGTAAAGTCTTATAATTTAAAAACTGAAAATTGAAAACAAAAACATTTTTCAAATTATAAATATGCTCTTAAAAACCACTTAATAGGATGCAGGTGCTTGATTGGCCACCTGCCACCATCGACAACTGGCCCCAAACATGCCACACTCTCACTACGACCAACAGCATTCGCAGCGGGTCAGGAGGGCCACGCACTTAATTTATGACTCGCCGTGCAATAATTCAAAGTCATAGGCCTCCAGAGACCATTCAGGGAACACTCGACCACTCATTCGCTCAAGGGGCTTTTGAGGATGGAAGGGGGTGCCACTGCCACTTCTCCTCCCACTTCGACTTCTACTTCTGCCAACACCTCGCTCTGTGGAGGCTAAGGAATTTTTAATTAAAATATTAAAGCATTGGCTGTAAGGTGTTTTTAATCTTGAAAATTGTTTTAATTGTTATTTAGGATTTGTTGCTGGTGGCTGTTGTTGTTCCTCCCTGTTTGTGGTGCAATTTATGTGCGCCTAATTAGAACAGACACTGTGGCGGTGTCAGAGGTCTTCTGGCTTGGCTGTTTTCATTCCGCTCTCTCTATCCACATTTTTTTTTCTGTTATTTTGTTTTTTTGCCTTATACAAAGCCGCTTCATAATTACCATATTTTCAAATTACCATTGGCCAGGGCCATGGCCGCCATTTTCCTTTGGGCCCGCGGGCCATAAAAGCTAATTGTATGCGTGCGTCGTCGTCGTGGCATGTGGAAGGGAGAGAATGGCGGGCAGGATGCGAGGGGCAAAGGTAAATCCTTGGCATGTTGTTCCTCGACGGTGATTTATATTTAATTGTTGTCATTATGGTCATCAAAAACCGTGTGAAGTTCCTCCGTCCTGGCTCTGGGGAGGAATGGCAGTGTCCTGGGGATGATGGAGTGCCTCAGCTGCTGTCGGGAATTCTTCGAGTGTTTCCTGGGTCAACACACTGACAGATGTCTAATTGCTGGCCATGTTTCCCTCTTAATTCATGTTTGTGATAAGGAAAATGCTCTTAGAATTTTCCAAAGAGAAAAGTATAATGGGAATGAAACAGGAGCTTCCCAGGCGCATGTCCTGTTTCCATTTCGTTCCCTGGAAACTCGATTCGAGCATCGTTCTGTGGGGCTTCGCTTCAGTCGTGGCCCGTTGATGGCTCCATTTGGTTGGCTGGTCAATGGAGAATGATGGGGGATTGTTTTGGTTTTGGTCATGGGCTATACAGATATAAATTAAATCGAGTTTGAGCCGAATATTCGATATTGATATTCATTAAAGGAAATTCAATTAAACTCGGCTTTGATTGGGTCTTGACCGAATAATTCTCACACGGTGCTCGGTGTGTCACCGGAGGAGTGACACAAACATAATTGAATAGTTGTGGATTTGATTATGCAATTGTGCCTCAAGTGGGCAAACGGAAAGTCAATTTGCCGCTGGCCATGGTAGTTCATCAGCATTCGGCCGCAGGCAGAGCAATAAATATTTTTTAATTATTCATAAAATAAAGCGAACACTTATTTGCCTGATTAATACAATTTTCCATGTCCATGTCTGTGTCCGATGTCCGATGTCCATGAGCGACGCTCTGGCACAAATTAAATTAAACTCCTCTTGTTTTTTTTATCGATATCGGTCGTTGTTCGTCGGGATCTGATGTGGATGATGTTGAAAACATCAGCCATGAACAGCACGAGCTATATTCATTAGTTGCATTAATTCAATATGAAATTCCTTTTCTCATTTGTTTTGATGTCGCTGGCCCGCATTCCACCTCAATCAACCAGTAAGCGATTGTATTTTAAATTGATTATTAATTTAAATGCGTTTTATACCCTTTCATGCGTAGCTCCTCCACTCTATCGACAGGATATACAAATAATATTCGCAATTGCAACTGAGAGCTGATAGGTGGCATATCGCGGTCATAATTTAAAAACAGCGCAATCTGATTTTAAGCCCAATATGGTGGAAAACGCATATTATTAAATTGTTCAAAAATGAAGAAAATGTATGAAATATGAAATGAAAATGAAATAAAATAAGTCATAAAAAAGTGTCAAATTGTGTTTTCAATTCATATCCTCAAATTCAATTTCATTTATTCCCACAAAATCAAACGTTCTTTGGCCACTTTTGTTTTTATTCTGAAGAGTATTTAAAACATGGATAGTTTTCCGTTTTGTCCACCATTTTTAATTGACTTATAGCATAGTTGTGGCTGTAGTTGTTACAATTATTTACAAGCGTTTGTTATTAATGAAACACGGCAATCGCAAAAATGACTGGCGTTAATGTAATTTCCTTATTTCAACAGTTGCATCAGCTTTCGCAAATTAGCCCCGGCAAAAAACAAACGTAGTAAACAGAAAAAAAAATTGAAAAAATGAACCATTTACATTCGGGTTGGAGGCGATGGATGGCCTGTTTTCCCACGAAAATGGTTTTCGTGATGAAGGGAGAAAAACAAATTACTTGGGACTTGTTTGTTTTGCAAAAATACTTTTCCATTTGCCTCGGTTTTCGTGGGGGCCTAGACAAAAGTGCTTCGAGATCTAAATAGGGCTTCGTCATTTGCAAATTCGACAGTTTTCCCCGAGCGTATCGAATCGGGCCATATAAACAGAAGCACACACACAACCGCATTTACAGGTATTGAAAGTCGAGAGGACCTCTCGAAAGTGGAGGCAGGCAGCCCACGTAAATATCGGAAAATGGGTTCCCCAACCCCAGAGATATTCCAATAAATATGAGACGGAAAATAAAATATCTCTCATTAAATGATGACAGGAGCAAATATGAAAACACGCTCAAGGCGAAAAATCATCCGACAAGCAGGGGATATGGTTACCATCGGAGATACTGAGCTTATTGCCGGGGGAAAACCACTGGTTTGGGGGCATTAATTACAACTGTCTAAGTACGATCCTGCTCGATGCCCCGACAAAGGTGGAGTGGAATGATATACAGATTCAGTGGAAGATGGGAAGGAGGAATGATACTACCACGAAAGTACTTGAGCTAAACAAATATTTAAGTTGATTGGGCGGGCGGCGCGCTAGCAAATGCAAAAAGTTTCCACTCAAGGAGTTCACCAAATTCGCATAAATTCAATGCGTGCCAGGGCAGCCGTGAACTTTTTAATGTATTTTAAAACACTTTCCACTAAACATTTTAAGCAAACTGCTTCTTCGCAGGCTTTCGTTTTAGTCGCAGTCGGAGCCGGAGTCGTCCCCTGCCAAGTTGACTTCCTGCGAGAGCGGCAAAGTTTTCGCTCCTCCGGAGTTGCAGGCAAAATCCCATGGAGGCTGAAATCAAGTATTTCATTTTGGATTCAACTGCTGTCCGGGCAGTGCAACAACTAAATGGGAAAGTATTTCAACTTGAGCAGCCCATTGCTTTCTTCAACGCCACCTTCCAAATACTCTATTGTATCCGTACTGCAGCCCTTTCATTTCGATTTTTTACCTCAAAACAAATGAACTGATAAGTGTTAAGACCTGAACAATAGTTATCAAGTGACTTTGGCTCAAGTATTATAATTCTTCGGAGTTCTTAAGTCGAATATTTCACGCCTCCTCAAGAAGGAAATTCGAGTTTCGTTAAGAGGCTGCTGCTGGCATGGCAACAGCATCAACGTGGTAATAACAATGCCAGGAATAAGAAAAACTTCTTCAACAGTTTTTCGGCCACCACCCACAAAAGTCGCCCACCTCCAGAAGGTTTTCCATTTCCCTCCTTCTGTCAGCTGCCAACTGAGTTTCGAGCAAGTTTTGCTTTACTAAAAATATATAAACTCCATTTTCGTGGGCTTTCGTGGTGCCTGGTCAGTGTGTCAATGTTTGTTTTATGTGCCTAGGCCAAAGTTGTTCGTTCTCGAGGGAATTGCCACCAATTCTCCAGGTGAAATTTTTTAATTAATTACTCTGGCTCTGGTGCTGGGCTCAAAAACTGTGACGGTTAATAATTGAGTAAATAGAATCAGAGGCAGAAACCTCTGATTCGCTCACTTTGCCATTCACACATTCGAATTAATAATGCTGTCGGTGCAAAGTCTGTGGCATTTGTTCTGAACTCAATTTGTGTGTGTACTTTATGACTCCACTTAGACCTGGTCTTAAGTTGCCAGCCATTTGCCGGGCATGTAATTGCATTAATTTATTTTCGAAAGCTAAATTATCCGACCAAACGATGGCCAAACTTTGCCATCTGGCAAATCTGGAGCAGTTCTACATGCAGTTGCTGTTGGGCTGTGATCTTTGACCACGACAACAATACCAATACGATACCCGGTAAAAGTCTCGGGCTTAACAGTAATTAAAACCCTGAAATGTTAGATGAATCCGAAAACGGCAGCATACAATTCGAAACCGGAGGAGATAGGAGCGAGAGCGGGGCTGGAGCCGAGGCAAACAAAAGTTTTCACATTTGAAATGCAGCTAGGATTTGTTTTAGTTTTTGCTTAGCATTGCATTGCATTGCATTGCTGCCAAATATTTGCAGTGGCTCAGAGATTTGTTTGCGGCACCACAGGCCGAGCTGCTTGACGGCTGCAATTGGAATTTGCTTTTAATTGTTTTTAATTAAGTATAATTTATTGTGCAAACATCATAGGGTCAAAAGACTGCTTTGGCCCAGCCAGCACTGGCCTGGTCTTACACAAATCTGCATGCTGATGCATTCAAAATTCTCCAGAGAGAAGGACACTTTTGCAACCGCCACTTTAGTTCCCAGCTTAAAAAGGTCGAAGGTCTAGCACTTAAATTTAAATAATAAATACCCCTGAAGGTTACTTGCTTTAATGGGTTTATTGATTTTACTTAGCCGTTAATGAGCTGCACTTTTCAGTCTCCCATAAAGGAATTTATTCACTTTTCCTTGCTTATTCAGCTAGACATGTTGACGGACAAGTTTCTTCGACTGCAGTCAATTTTCTTTCGCCTTCTGGGTCTGGAATTGTTGCACGACCAGGATGTCAGACGTCGATATCCCTGGAGGACCATCTGCTGCATCCTTTCGGTGGCGACTTTTTTGCCTCTGACTATCGGATTTGGTCTGCAAAATATCCAAAATGTGGAGCATCTAACTGACACACTCTGCTCGGTTCTTGTTGATTTGTTGGCCCTCTGCAAGATCGGGGTTTTTCTTTGGCTTTACGAGGAGTTTAGGTTTCTAATACAGAAGTTTCACAGCATCCTGGAAAGAGGTGAGCTGTTATAAAAAATCAGTAACTGGATTGTGATATCAATAACTATTCAGCTTTTTGCTTTAATTATGAGCATTACGAAAACCATTCCCATTTTAAATTTCTTATAAAGATGTCAACAGAAACGATTTCTAAGGACTCTCGTTTTAAGCGACACTTTGAGTTATATTGTAGCATACTTTTATGCACCTTTCTAGAAACACAAACATTGAGGAGGGTTTCACTTTGAAAGCAATTAAACATATTTCCCTCATTAAAGATCTACTTTTTGTATTACAGAAGCCAAGTTAGCGGATTGTGAAGTAATTATTAACAAGGAAAACCGGCGTGATCAGTTTGTTACTGCCTTATATTGCTACTGTTTTATGACAGCTGGTCTTTCAGCCTGCCTGATGTCGCCTTTATCCATGTTAATAAGCTACTATCGAACAGATCAACTCCAGCCGGATTTACCTTTTCCCAGTGTGTAAGAAATGCATACTCCAGTAAATCCAGAATAATACTCATTAATTTTCAGATATCCTTGGGATAATACGCATGTCTCTAACTACATTATATCTTATTTATGGAATGTGAGTGCTGCTGTGGGCGTGGCATTGCCTACAGTTTGCGTGGACACCCTGTTTTGTTCACTTACCCATAACCTTTGTGCCCTGTTTAAGATTGCCCGCTACAAAATGCTCCATTTTGGCGGCAGAAGTCCTGAGGAGACCCGTGAGAACCTGGTGCACATATTTCAGCTATATGAAGAGTGTTTGGAACTGGGACATTCCCTCAATGGATACTTCAGGCCACTTATCTTCGCCCAATTCGTGGCTGCCTCTTTGCATTTGTGTGTCCTGTCTTACCAACTATCTGCCAATATCTTACAGCCAGCAATGCTTTTCTACGCTGCTTTTACAGCAGCCATTATCAGCCAGGTTTCTATATACTGCTTCTGTGGATCGATGGTTAATACGGAGAGCCAACTATTTGGCCAGGCCATATACGAGAGCAATTGGCTTCCTCTTCTACAGGAAAACTGCCAGCTTCAGAGGTCTTTGATGATTGCCATGATGCGTGCGAGAAGAGGATGTCCCATCGATGGCTACTTTTTCGAAGCCAATCGGCAGACCCTTGTCATGGTATGATTTGTTTAATTTCTTTCGAGTTACCCCTTCAACGCCCAAAATAATCAGTATTTCGACCGTAAATGAAATGTCCTACCTCGTTTAGTTTGTAGTTTATTTCTTAAAAATTTGCAATGAGTGGGTGATAAGGTCGAAAGTTTTCGTCAATAGCTTCACAAAACAGTCATTCTTTTAGCTGTGAGTTTTGTTTTGACTAAGTTATAGGTATAATCATTTTCTGTCAAAAGTCAAAATCCTGATTTTAGCGTCAAAATAATCAGGAGTGTTGCCATAACGAAGCCAAAAATTGTCCGAATATGGAATGTTTGAACTCGTTGAATTCGTAATTAAAATTTCAGCCAAACTGCATTCACATCTAAAAAACTAAAATTTTCGCCATTTTTCGCAAATTTAATGATAGTATCCCTTACCAAAAATGAGGTAATTGGCTTCTCCCATTTTCTTCATCAAAGTGAGAGTATTATGCCTATAACTATGCAAATAATGGTCCGAATATGGAATGTCATACCTCGATGAGTTTGTTTTTTAATTTCCAGTAAATCTGTGTTCCCACCTCAAAATGTCATATTTTTGGCACTTTTTGAAAAATTTGATGATGTAACCCCTTACAAAAAATACAAAATTTAGCCAAAAATTAAAATTCCCAAAATCAAAAAACAAATGATCAGGTTTGCAAGTATTGGTCAATAGCTGCTGAAAACAGTTTTTATTTTAGCTGTGCGTCGTGTTTTGACTAAGTTATGGGGTATAAACCCGATTAAAATATTGTCATGTTCTGTACAAAGCCATAGACTTTTTAATATTACGATATACATTATTTTTAAAGAATGAGAAGAAACTTTAATGCATTTCCATTTTCCATCCACAGATTGTGCGCACTGCTTTATCCTATGTAACGCTTCTCAGGTCGCTGGCCTAGCTGCCCAGGGCACTTTCATTATTCAGGGAGCTGTTCTGGTTTGTTTTAAGTCCGGAAATATTTACAATTATGCTTTAAGCCGGTGTTGTTACAGCCAGTTGGCTAATTAAGCCATGTTAATGGCAATAACTGCTATGGAAAACCAGGAAAACCAGTGCTGGGCCTGTGTTAATGCATTTTGCATTATTGGCCTTGCTTTCAACCCCATCAGGACATTGAACGCACGTATACGTAATATTTGCAGTTGTCCGTTGTCCGCCACTGTAATTTGCTTTTGTTGTTTTTCTGTTCGGTTTTTGTTGTCCTTTTTTTTATTATTTTTTTTTGTTTTTTGTCATCCTCGCACAACATTGCGGTTGTCTGCACGTGCTCGTCGAACGATTATGTATAAAAGTGTGACATGGTCAAAGGATTTGGCCGATTTAACTTTGTTTTGGCCGATAGAAGGGCGCGCTTTACCCTTCAGTCCACCAAATGTGTGATCCCGCGTGTGTATGTGTGCATGTGTATGGATGCTGCACGTGAGTGCGGTCGGAAAAAGCCAATTGCAGTGACCGGGATTTCAGCGCATCCGCAGGCGGCGCTTTAGTCATAAACTGCACGCAACACGGCGGCTTAAGTTTAGCCGATTTTGTAATTTGTTTGTAGCCACAATGCGTTTGCTAACGGGCTCTGCTCTACACATAACAAAATTGTTTTGCCAAAACTTGCCAACAACTTTGTTGAAAACAATAAAAACATTTATGCGAATTTCACAGTAACTTTTAGTAGAAAAATATTTTAAGCTTATATCAGATAAGATAAAATTTTAATAAATTATATTACCTAATGGATTGACATATTTAATATGACATTTTCTTTTTGTGTAATTACATCAGGATAAAACTTACAAGCTGTAATGAGTGAATCAGCCATCTGGTTTATGATTCATTCGCTGATTATGCGCCGTACTCCGAACTTTCGCCCGATTGACAAAACTGTGTGTAATTGCTGGTGTTAGCCCAGTCCCCCGAGAAAAAGTCTGGTCGGTCCACCGAGGCTCAAAGTTGGCCAGCCAAACAGGCAGACAAACAAAATCAAAGACAGTCAACACTTTTGGCCATGGCGAAAGTGGCGAAAAATATACCCCGAGGGCATTGGACTATCTCGCCGGCGATGTGGGTTCGTCCATGTCCATGTCCTTTCTGCAGTTCTAGTTGTCTGTATGTCTGTGTGTGCCTTCTCCCTCTTTCAGTTTGATTCTCCGCTCTGTGTCCTTTGGCGTGTCGTGTGGCGCTTTGTGGCCCATTGAGGCAAATAGTTTCGGTTTAGTCCAATAATGATGCTATTGCAACAGAGCTTTCCCCGGCTTTCTTCCTCTCTCTCTCTTTCAGTGTGTGCTTCGGGGGGCGAAAGGTCGGTGGGTGGGCTTTGGTCCACTTTCATTCAATTGACGCTCTCCCAGTTGAAATGCCATAATAAATTCAATTGTGCCAGTGAGGCCCCCGGCGCCTGTCGCTTTGTGTCAGCCCAGATCGGTTGCTGCCTCTTGTCCCTCATTTCCCATCTCTCTTACCCCCTCTCATCATTTATTATTTTTTGGTTTTCTAACATTGTCATAACATCGTCGCTTTCATTCATTTCCCTTCATTTTCCTTTTGCTTGCTTCCTTTCTGCCAATGAAATTCTCCCTTTTTAATTTGGCAATTAATTGAATCAATCGTTCGCACTTCCTTCCGGCCTTTTTTGGGCCTCCTGCCTTTTGGTATTTTAATGCTGCTAATTTATGTGGTCAATTGTTTTTAGTTTTAACGAGCATTCCGGTCATTTTTTATTGCCAAATGGCCATTCGACCCAACCGAATTCTGCTCCCTTTTCGTCGGACGTTTACATTTTCCGCTTTTACTTTGCCCAAGATGATTTTTCTCTTATATTCGATGCTGAAATAACTTTATTTTTATTTTTTGAAGGCAACAGCAATTATTTCTGTGAACAAACACGACTTTAAGCCAAGTTCAGGTCCGGGTTGTACCCTCAATTAGAGCATAAATATCAAATATTGCGTATACGACCCGTACACAGTGCATTCTATTGTGCATATATGCATATGTATATGAAAGGCAAATGAATTCATTTATGTAGATTGCCTGGTAAACGGCCGAAACGAAAATAGTTTGAATGGCTGTCGGCCAGATAGATGAAGCCATCTTGAGGCGCCTGCAAGCAAATCACCATGGCAAGTTTAAAATTTCTCCTGTGTTAAAGTTCCTTTGCAGGATGCACACCCACATCGACACACCAACACACACATACACTCATAAAAGACAACACACAAAGGTGGGCGAACGACTTTTTGTCGAATGCAGCATGAGTTCGGCATTGTATACGAAATTGTTATAAAGAGCTAACCGGATATTTTCGGAATTTTTAATTAATTCGTCTGCAATGGCCCCGACTCACCGAACCAGCCATCCTATATCTGTGCTATATATACCTTACTGCCAACATACACACATCCTGGAGCTGTTGTCCGGTGCCGAGCTGTCCTTGCTCCCACTTTTGTTGCTGCAACTCGCAAGTCAGGCTGCTCGGAGAGTGACCACACTCGGAAAATTGCTCTTTCTTAGTTTCATTAAGTGCTTAATTTAAAGTGAAACGTTGAGTTTTGGCAAGGAAATTGGGTTTCTAAGAATAATGTGGTCTTTTGCGACTTCAGTAATGGGAATTCCGGTAACTTCTATACCTAAAAATCATCAGTTTGAAGTTTGTTTACGAATTTAAATGATTATTTCATGATTTTTTTGAAGACTTTTATTATAGATTTGGTTCCTTCGTTTTCCCAATAATCTAGTATTAATAAGAAAAGATATTTTTGCGAAGTGCAAGTATGTTCCTTTTGCTGTTGTTGCCTTTTGTCAAGGAGAGAGCGAGGCGAACTGCAACAATTTTCGGCAATTGCTGTCCTGGCAGGACAGTAGGACACACTCGTCCTTCTTTTGCTGCCACTGCTACTGCTGTTGCTGCTGCTGCTGCTGCTGCTTCTGCTGCTCCTGCTTTGTTGCTGCTCATTCATTGTGCAAAGTTTGTATAAATTTTTGATTTCTTTACACAAAATGCTGTGCATGTCTCTCCGACTGTCTGATGTCCTGCCTGGCGGGTTGGGAAATGAGAACCTTTTGCCTCCCAGCCAGTTCGTGTTCCCATTCTCCGGCTGATGCTGCTTCTTTTGCTGCCTGGCACAACACAAATGCCATTGATTGAGTCACATCGCCTGGGCATATAAATCTCCACCGATGGGGTGTGGCACGCTCGACTGCTGTCAGAATTTCTGGGCTGCCTACCTTAAAGTTTTCGCCGTGCTGAGTCACTGTCACCGTTACAGTCACAGTGAGACTCACATTCTCGTTCCCCTTCCTATCGAAGAATCGAAGTCTGTGCTGTGGCGTTTGGCGTAACTTGGCCGATGATTTCGTTATTGTTCGATTGACAATAAAAAATCAACTGAAAGTTGCAAAAGGCACAAACTGTCATTGAATTTGCGAATACACAAACTCACACACAGACAGGGTCAGGATGGCCAGAATTTGGTTCCAGAGGAGATCCCAGCTCCATCGTAGTTGTAAGCATATAAAAATAAGTCGCTTGGGGCTTCCCATTTTCAACCTTCCATCCCATGCTTCTGTCCCAAAATTTGTATGCAAAAATGCAATAAGCGAGTGGAGCTTAAATAAAATGCATTTCAATGATTGCATTTTGGATTAAAACAACAACTTCGTCGGTGTACAACAATAACAACGAGACAACTCGACATCTCTTTGTGAAAACTCCCAATACATACATATTTATTAAAAGTTTTTCCCCTTGCTTTTTAACGGCAGCCAAATGGAACTGACAGACATTGCATATCTCTCAGCTTGCTGCTCCGTTTAGGTTTAATGAAGTGCAAACAAAAATATTTTCAATTAGAGCCAAGGCAAACCGAGCTGCAACCGAGAAAACCAACGACCTAAAACAAAACGAGCTCTGTTCTTGCAACAAAAAAAGAAGGACAGAGCAGAGCGAAATGCTAAAAGTCGAAACGCTGAACAGGTGAACAAGTAAAAGTGAACAGGTGAGTGGCATGCAAATGCAACTTGGATCTGGAAACCGAGGTGCACTCACCTTAAGCTCAGTTTGCTGTCGGCTTTGTGGTGCAACCAAAAACGCCAACAAAGTGCTGTCGACCAGATGGATAGATCCTAGATCACCGATTCTCAGCGATCACTTTGCTGCCAAAAGAACAGAAGCCAAAAGCACGAAAGGGCTTCCCAATATCGCCAGGATTATCCAACATACACGCGCTTGATTTATGCCCAAGTCCTGGGCTCCTTTTGTGTTTAGCCTCTGTCTTTCTCTCAGCCGACTAAACATTCAATAAATAATGAAGGGCAAAAAGCAAATTACGATTCGCTGATGTTTTTACGACAGCGACGTGCCCATTTAAAAGTGTTTTTGATTTGTGTGTTGCCATTGCCGCTGGCGGCACATTAAATTTATATCCAAAGATTTCACGCACTCCTAATTTATGTGGCGTGGCCCAAGTCGTTGTTGCAAGTAATATTTCGCCGCCCGGCCAACTTTATTATTATATTCATCCAACCCACCACTTAGGCGATGACATTTTTATATGCGGCCATCAAAAACAAAAGCGTTTCGTTGACGTCAAATTGTTAACATAACGATATACTTTCCAAGGCATAACAAATGAAACTATTGCATAGAATATATGGTCTATAGTTAAATGTTAAAGTGCCTTTGTTTTTTATAAGAGATGTTAACAAATTGGTAGGGAAACCAATTCAATTTAAAGTTTGTGTTTTATTGTGAAGACTAAAACATGCAGTTTGCAAAACTGAAGTTCATTTAGCATAAATAAACTGTCCTCATTAAACGTCAACGTGGATAGAAAGAATAAGTTTAACCAAAAAACTATAAGCAGTTTGAAGAGATACGGACTCTAGATATCCTGTAAAAAGTTAGAA